TTGCAAATTAATGGATTATATGAATATTAAGTCTTACAGTACATTAAACCATAAAACTGGTTGGTATATGACACTAAATTAACTTTATGCACCTTGCCATTTCCTGAAGCACAGAACTGAAGGTTACCTGGCATGGTATTTAAAGTACATATGACATATGTTTAATAAATACCTATTAATTGACGCTCCTGGCAATATAGTCCAAGCCTGCTCATTTTACATTAAAAAGTATGAAGAGTTTGGATAAAATATGGGCAGGAAAACACTTAGCTTGATAAGCAAATAATTAAAGGAATAACTACTTTTCCTTGAATAAACTGCCAGTAGTAAAAGGAAATCACATTATGGAATATAATAAAAAAAAGTTTTCAAGAATTCCAGTGCAACAAGAATTCTTTCAGGAAGACATCAGCCAAAAGGAATAACACTTGTGTTAATTCCGATTGCCTGGAAGTGAACGAACATTCTAGCACTGACACAGTTTGTTGAAGGGTGCATCTTTTTCCTTTTAAGTCAAAATATTTTATGAAGGAAATAATTTGCATTGAGAAAGCTGCTGTGGGGTTCATAGGCTATGGAATATATTTTTTATTCATCAATTCTCATATTATTGCCAAAGGATCATCTGATATACCTAACATACCTACAAACTGTGAAATTGGTTTGCTGTTGTTATGGAGAGTGAGTATTCAGAAAAAGGATTAGTTACTACAAATCAGCTTCATCAGAAGTAAAAATAAATGATTCAGTAGATGGGAAAAAATCTAAATAAATCTTTCTAAAACCTTCCCAAGTTTTTCATCAAAATACAAAAATCAAATGTATTATGATTGTCATGATAAATATTTTCAGTTATGTTGGCTAATCAATAAATATTCCTTAAACCCATTTAGAATTTGTTCCCTTTTTATTTTTACTTTATTTATCCTAATTTTAATGGTTTAGAAATTATGTCTTCATCTAGATGACATTCAAATTAATTTGCAAATAATCAACAATAACAATGTGTGTATATGTATATATATGTGTGTGTGTGTACATACACACACACACACATATAAATATAACAGTTACACAGCCTCTAGTTTCTCTCAAAGGTAATGACTATCAGTAACTCAGAGATTTCTCAAGAGGGGAAGGTGAGTGGGGAGTACCGTCCTCCCACTCACCTAACCATCATAGGGCATAGACCGGTAGTTTTTAAGACCATATAAAATTGTTTTCCTGAAGCCCTGATTTTGAGAATGGTTGACTTATAATTCTAACATGGAGAGAAAGAGTCAAAACACAACAAACTGAATTTTTACTAACAAAAATACATCACCAGAAAAGAAGACTGTTAATGCTTGTATCCTGATATTTTGGCAGTTTTGAACCAAATAGCTGAACATTTAAGACACTTCCCTCAAGACTTAAGTGAATGGAAGGAAACCACAGGAAGACAATACAAATTGGAGAAAAACATGAATATAAAGTGAATTAAATGGCAGTGTCCTGGAGTCCTTTATCCAAGAACTTTGAATAGACATCTGACAAAATTAGAAACTCTTGAGATATTTTTGGCTCCACAACTAAGTTATTATAGACAAGGTATGGATATCCTATACCCCAAAAAAGTTTGTTTTAAATAAAGCTAAATTCAACAAACTCTGCTATTATCAAAGTGAAAGAGCTGAGACTCACTGAAAGGCGGGGAAGGTAGGAAATCCTTTATTAATTCAAGAACTGTTTTAAGTTTTCCCTACCCCCAACTCAACAGTGCTAAGATTTCAAGGAAGTAATTAGTGAAGAAAAGCCACTGAGCAATCTCAGAACCCAGGTTTTGTACCATATTGAATTAATCACTTTCTTCCATTTTTTAAAATGCTTTTCCTAAGGTTTTTATAAATCAGCTAATATTAACAATTCAATTTCTAAGACAACAGTGTGTGTATGTGTGTGTGTGTGTGTACCCATACACAGAGACGTGTGAATGTGGGGGGGGGGGTACAGATGATATATAATGACCCTGAATCAAACATCTTAGGAACCATTTGAATAAATTTAAGATACTACTAGCAAAGGATATGTAGGTAGTCATTTATTCAAGACGCCAACAAATTTCTGAAAGTTATTTTTTTAAATGAGAATACCTGATTTGGGCACTGATTATTTTTCAGCATCAGATATTAATTATTTAAAATAGCACAAAAATAGGATCTGTTCAATGTTATCATGAAACAGTTCTATGAAATGTATTCCACTAGTTTTATTGTCATTCCATACATTTTTAGAGAAAAATCACACAGTAGAAAAAGCAAATCACTTCCTCCTTGCCCCACACGTAGGACACTGTAATGTGTAAGGCAGCCAGAAAGATTGCTGTGTTTCACCTCTTTGGAGAAATAATTGGAGACATGATTTCAGGGTTTCTGTACAGGGGAGGGAATGAAGCAATTAGTTGAAATGCTAGGGGCAAAACAAGTGGGCGCTCTCACCCCACTTGCCAACTCAAAGGCTAGAAGCCAACCTCTCAGTGTCGTATTTGCCTAATGAATTGGAAGAGTGGCTTTGCATACCTGCATGTATGTATTTTCAGTTATGTATAGACATATATCTGTGGGAAAGAATAAGAGAGGTCACAATGATAACTGTGAAAGGGAAGAATTAGAATTAATTTTATTTAGTATGCCAGAAACAGAATTTCTAATGGCACAGTAGGAAAATTTGATGTAAAAGAAATATCTTCTTCGAGTTGGGTGAAAAAAAATGACATCCTTCAAAAAAAAATCTTCAAAACAATCATTGGCCAGGAATAGTGTCTGTTGTTCAGGAGGAAGAAATATTGCATGTTTTTCATTACACTACTAATGTAATATGCACATGGAAGCCAGATAGATAAAACAAACTCTAGTGACACAGCCAACTTTTATACTCAGAAAGCTCCCACAGTAGATAGATGATGTTAATACAAGGTGGCTTTAGGGAAAATAAAAAAAAAAATCAGTGAATAAATGAAAAGCCTTTTGTTTAATGATTAACCTCTCTGTTCAACTAGTGAACAGTTTGTTATTTTTAACATGTAGAATTTATTAAAGGTTTCATATATTTTATTCTTAATTTTCACTGTAAGACAATGAAGTAGCTATTATGATTGGGGGGCAGGGGTTGCTGGGGATTGAATCTAGGGCTTCATACTTGCTTAGCACATACTCAGGCACTGGGTTAACCCAAGCCCTAAAGGAGGTATTATTATTAATCATATTTTACAGATAACAAAACAGAGAGTCATATTGGGTAATAGGACATTGAAGTGGAACAATCAGGATTGAGCATGAGAACATTCTATGCCCAATGACCTTGTGATTCCTGATGGATTAATAATAAGCTCTGAACCCATTATCTGGAAATTGCATACTTCCTCAGGGAAAGAAGGATGGCTGGGCAGTGCCAAGGCTATGTTGATATCAGGACTCCTTGAGTCTCAGATTGTGACTGTATTTGGAGATGGGGCCTGTAAGGAGGTGATTACATCTGACAGGTGTAGTTCTAAGAGGAAATAAAGATATACAAGACAATGCCACAAAAAATTATTTAAAAAAAGAAAGAAGATGTCATAGGTATGTGCCCAAAGATAAATGTCACATTAGGATAGCCTTCTGCAAACCAGGAACAAAGGCCTCAGAATGGAACTAACTCTGATCTTGAACCTGACCTTGAATTCTACCTTCCATAAGTATGAGAAAATAAACCTCTGTCTCTTAAGCTACCCAGTCTGTGGTATTTTGTTAAAGAAACCATGGCCAACTAATATAGAAAGAAAGAAGAAATCATCTAACATTGTAACATGTACAAACTGTAAATGTTACAGCAGTTCATCTGTTTTTCAAGACAGAACTAGGAGCTCTTACAGATTCTGGCTTCATCAATGGAGTAGGAACATGTCCCATTCCCGAGGATCACGGGATTGTGGCTGTGTCACCCTACCACACTGTTTCCAACAACATCCCCTCCTGCTGAAATGTCCCCTGCAACTCCAACACACATGCCCTAACAAGCTAGGTACATGATAAATTAAAAGCATTTCAAGGCATGGCCCAATGTTGTTACCTCAGATCTTGCTAGAATAACATGACATTTATAAAAAATACAACCCACTGGATGTTTGGCACTGCTTGGGAATGAAGAATATGTCCACTTAAGAGCCAATACCCCAGGCTGTCAAAAAATCTCAAGCCAGGATTTCTTTTATAAACATTACCTATCTTTTTAAATTCTTCAGTCTAGGAGGTGAAAAAGGGGCCTGCTTATTTCTACAGTCTCCTTTCACCTAAACACATTAAATGTAAACCATGCACAAGAAAATGTTAAAATCATACTCAAGGCACATTGACAGAACAGCTCTGTGTACCTGGCAAACAGCCTCCACGCTGCCATCCATGCTTGGGCCATTCCCAATCCAATGACACCTACACACAGCACCCACACCACCAACGTCTGCCCCCTCTAATCCCAGCACACTCTGAAATCAGGTATTTATAGATTATTTTTTCAGATACCAGCCAAATAATGTCACAGTGCACCCTCTCACCCATGTTAGACCATACAAATTTTAACATCTGGAAGGATAAACTCAGCCGTAAACACGTGACAAGGGTACACAGTCATCTAGGAGTTCTCAAGCAAGGGGAATTTGCCAACTTCCCTCTGAGGTCCAGACTCTGAAAGCCAACTGTGGTATGTCTGAGTTTCCATCAGGCCTGGTGCTTGCAGGCTGCTGCTATGTCAGGAAGAACCCCACAGCTCAACTGTCCTATAAACATCTTGCCCCTCTGCTGAGTGCTGTTGGTGCAGCCTTCCTTCTCCGAGCCGAGAATATGCTGTCTGAGAGTCACAGGCTGAATGTTAACTAACACAGGAGCACAGCTGACCGCTCTCTTCTACAGGCCAGTGGCTGCTCTAAGAAAACACATTCACGTGAACATAACAAGAACAGGAAGAGGAGCCCAGATTTTCCTCACCATGTGCCACCCAGCCATGTTTACACTGATCGCAAGTCCTCAGGTTAATCTTCCCCGGCTGAAAACATTCACATGTGCAGTTTACCAACGTGCAACGGATGGCCTGAAAAACAGAGCAGGAAAAAAGATCAGCATCTGTTCAAAGGTACTATACTTTTTTCACAATTTTTAATAAATAATTCCCACTTCTATTTTTAAAGGCTATTTCTTTTGGTGGAGGCCTAGAGAATTTTGAAAATAAATATTGATATCATCAAAATCTCTTACCAAAAAAAAAAGTAAGAGAAACAAAGCTCATTCAGAATCATATTTTAAATCACTCATAGTAACCTTTAAATTAGAAATGTAGACCAAGGAGAATAAAAATAAAGGATTATATATTCTACAAAATGCAGAAATCCAAAAAAGAAACAAATGGTACTACAAATTTATTTCCATTTAAGTTTATCCACTTTCTAATAATGAAAAAGAAAATACATCTTAATAATGTTAAAGTGAAATGTTTATACAATTAAATGCAACAGAAAAATACTGTTACAATAGTACTTCTGAATTTCATTTAAATACTTTGCTAATCTGTCAGATATTTCGAGAGACACTCCTGTTTTCTCAATAAGACTTAGCATATTTATATTATTATTTATCATTTTCCCTTAGGGATTTTTTTCTTTGATTATTAATTCTTACTTTCTTTCCCATTTTGCAAACTATAAAACAATTCTCCTTTTATTTTAATGGTGAGAGAAGAAAATAAGTTTCAATTGACTTTTTAAGAGCAGAATGCAGGAAAAGCCATTATGTGAACATTTTATACCTGGAACAGTACAACTCTATCTTAGAAAACAGAAACCCACACAAAAACTCTTTCATTTCCTTACCAGGACTTTAAAAATTCATCTTGCCAGTTTATATTATAAAGTGAAATCCACTGAAAATTAGCATAAATGGAGTGTAACATTTTATGAATAAAAACTTCTGGTAAAGAATTGTGCTAATGCTGACCTGTGCTCCTAGACTACAGTTAATAAGTTTATCTCATACATTTAATTCTAATTTGCATGGAAATTCTGAAGACAGAAGGGATTTGGTCTGATCATTCACAGATTAACAATCTACTGTAACTACCTGAACTTCCCGGAAAAGATCTCTCTGCAGATTTAGATGCGATCAGAGATTACTGATCTTGGGTGCAGGCATGGGTTCTGTGAGCACAACTCAGCTCTGTGTCTGAAAGCTACACTCACCTCACATGCTCACATTCCTGGAACCATTTGGATTTTTATATAAACTAGCTGACTTGTAACAGGAAGTATGTTAGATAATCTTAACATGTGCAGAGACTAAGGCTGAATGGGCTTCTCCTGTTCCTTATGTTCTGGATCAGGCAGCTTTAGTAATTTCTCTTTCACTGATTTACATTAACTCAATGGGTGCTTCTTGAGTTTCAGATGTTGGAGTCCTCACTGTTTTCTTCTTTGATACTTCACTCTCACTCCTAATTTGTTTTTTCTGTTTACCTCTAGGGAAATAATTATAAAATCTGCCTGATATTTCAGGGACTGTCTTCCAATGTCATTTGTCCAATTATATATTAGCTAGGCTGTAAAACTTTGCTGCATGTATCAGCAATTAAAGGAATGCATAGGTTATAAAGGGAAATAATTCTCCCCAAAGTTCTTATTTCAATTTCAATGTTTTTTTTTAACTTAGCAATGTATCTGAACATCCTGACAAATAGTTTCTTTATATAACATATTTGTTAGTTAGCAAACTCACAATTTGATTGTACTATGCCCCCCAAAAAGTTCAGAGCACAGTATTTCCACTAAAAACAAGATGCTTTACAGTCTACCAAATTATAAATTCAGATATGAAAACTATATTAACGTTAACATTTGAAGTGCAATAATAATAACATTCGCAAAGGATTATTTTTTTTAAAAATCCCTCTGCTTTATCAAAATCAAGGGAAGGACAATAAAAAGGAATTATATTTCAAGGACTATCTTTAACCCAGGCATCAACAACATAAGCCACTTTAAATCACTGATTTGGTGATATTATTTTACAAAAATGCCCTAATTTGGTATCATGTTTAAAGCACACCTTCAACTTTCATTACAGCTATATTCAATGCCAGAATAGATTGGAGACTGTAGGTTTGCTTTATTTT